AAACCCCCCCAGAAATGTTCCACTTCCCTTTTGCTCCCAGTTTATGACTGACGTTTGTCACTGCTTGTTATTTCATGCCTAGCTTAACAGACGTGACAGGCCCTGAAATGAAAAATGTTTGAGGAGAAGTGACTCTGGTTGTGTAGCCCTGAATTCCTTATGAATAGGAGCTGTTTCTTTGGTTAGTTTTGTACAGCAAGTTAGTGCAAAGAGTTGTAGCTTAAGCATAAACAATGTAGGCATAGCTGCTTTGCCTGTGTGTCAGAAGATGTAAATAAATTGCGTCTTGAGGGGAAAAAGAATATGATTTCTTTACATGGCCATCATCACAATAGCATCCAGCTGCTTCGGTTCAGCTGGATGCTGATTTGTTTGTCTCAGCAGGACACGGCATTAATACGTGAAGAGTTTTCTTACATCTGGCGTACTGAAGGGTCTGCATTTTAGATCCCAGTAACTGAACTGCTGGAGACTGCAGCATTAAAAACACTTGCTTTAGGTTCACCATCTCGCCTTAATGAAACCAGAAAATCACCACCTCTAAATGCACACTCCTACAGTAACAGTGACCTTTCAGCACCCTCATCAAGGACGCAGCGGGTTATGGCAGTTTAGTTTTGACACCTAGAAAATTACTCACAAGAGGAAACATGTCAGGATTTGTGTGGCTTTTGTTTCCTACTCAGATTGTAGTACACTTTTGTTAATAACATAGCTTGTGAAAGCAGTTTGTGCACAATGCAGTTCACTTCACAGCTGCTTATTTACAGGAATAAAATGCTTATGTCATTATCCATCAATGGGAGCGTTTTGTTCAGCTGTTTGTGAGTCAGAGGAGAATCTTTACTAAGAATGGACACAGTATGTGTGAGTTTTTGAACATATTAGGTTAGCATCTGTTGATACTGATTAAACTGTGGGCCTGTGTGTTACTGCAGGTGAGCGGCCTTTCAAGTGCACTCAGTGTGACAAGGCCTTCAACCAGAAGAGCGCTCTGCAGGTCCACATGGTCAAACACACTGGAAAGAAGCCATTCAAGTGTGAGGTGTGCAACATCAGGTTCACCCAGAAAAGCAACATGAAGCATCACATGAAGAGATCGCACGGCTACGGTAAGCGCCCGGGTGTCACGGCACTAATTAGAAAAAAACCCCAGCGTCTCTCTCCTGTTAGATTCTCTTTCAGTCAGAAAAAAATGTTTCCAAGGTCATTGTGGAATTTAGTGTGTCACAAAAAAGTCACTTTTTTTTAACTTTGTGATGGTTCTGGGTTTGTGTCTCTTTGTGTCAAGGTTACATTTCCTACACGGTGGGAATGGTGAACATTAAAAGGTGTCTCTGAGCGCTTAAATGATTGAAAAGCACTACAGGCTGTCCCCATTAGAAAAAACACACACCATCTCTCATCCTCGCATGTAGTATCTGTGGGGCTTCACTTCATGATCCTTCTCATTAAGAATGAGTTGTTAGAATGCCAACACTCAGTCTCATCAAACACACACGTGCAGTCGCCTTCATCTTGCAGGCTTGGTGAAGCTTCACAGCAGGGGAGCTTTGCTGAGTGGTCCATCAGCTGTTCCCAGAAGCCTCCACTTTGATATCTATCATTGACGTGAATGTTAATTTATTGTCTTTCAAAGTTTAGCCCAAGACCCTCTTTTGTTTAACCTTGGACACATACACATGCACATTGTTCGCTGTCCTGGGAACCTGAGCTGTACATACTGAAGAGGGTCTGAGGAGGAGAACAGAGCTGTCAGATCTGTTTAACAGAACAGCTTATTTAACTTGAAATCCAGCTCCACAAAAGGTTCCTGCTCTGTACCCTCTGGTTGAATAAAGAAAACCAAGATTCTTTTTCAAAGTTGTTTTTTT